AGTTGAAATATATAACAAAATTCTTTTATTGAAACATACCTAATCTCTTGAATTTGGCCTGTCATTCCATTACACGTCATTTGTAAATACATAAATTAGAAGCGAGAAACGGGAAACGATGATAAATATGCTAAAAAATTGCAGACAATTTGCAAAAGACTATCCTCCTTGGTTTACTTAGCAAAGAATCACTCAAATGAAGCAATAGGCGTGAACACATTCTCTATCGATGTTCTTTCGTAGGAGATACCCGGTAAACGACGTATCCTAAATGCATCCATCGAACGTGTTACCACAGCTAACACATTATTATCCACGGTTGTTTTTTGTCAACGTAAACGGAAAAAAAGAGAGTTCCAGCAAACGGAAATTGCTAACGCTGTGAATTATTGAGCCGTGACACACCCGCACATGCTCTTGTGTGACTGTGAGCGTATTTGTCTATGGTAGCGGGAAAGAGCGAGAAAAATAAGGGAACAATGCACGGTGGAAAACGCATTTGAAAGTCGTTCGAGCGTGTGGACGTGCATGCGAAATGCGGTACGGTAAAGCGGTGGTGTAACTTGGCAAAAATGATTTATCGCGAACGAAACGTAAATTGAACGGTCGTTTCAACAAACTGGCAGAGTGCGAGGTTCGTGTGACAAAAATGTGATTGGAAAGCACGGTGACGATTCGAGAACTCGACGTACTGTGAGAAACGCGTCCAAGACTTAGTATGCATGCGTATCTATAAGATCACATACATATGTATGTATAAGAAATTTAAAGTTATTGTTATATGATTTTCATATACATGTACTTATGTGCAATTGCTGGATATGGATGGTATAATTGACAATTACCTGCAACATTGTGTTGATGATGATTATAAGTAAGAGGAACGGAGTGTAATGCTCTAGCAGACCACTTTCTGTGTCTGGAATCTTCATCGTCGTCGTCTGCTTGATGTCCATCTTCTCCTAGGAAGTGTACTTTCTCGTACCTGTCCAAATACCTGAAACAACAAACAATTTTCATGTTGGACGAAAAATTCCACAAGTTAAATGTATTTTTGAGACGTTTGGAACGAACAAGCATTCGTCACTTAAGATTCTGTCTGTGCGTACAAAAGGGAAAATAAAGAAGAGGGACGAATCACTGGTACAGCCGTTTTGAAGACAATCGTTGCTCTGTGCCTGACTTTCACGGACCGGATAGAGGCTCGACTAAACCTAACGGAATACGAATGCTATGGTCCGTGTTCTCTTTAAATGAATACTAATGGCTCAAGAAAACAAGATTACTCGAACGCGTCGCCTTTGAGAACATCCATTACGATATGGATATACTATATTCGTTTCATACATTTCACTGAGCTACTTTTATTCAACCCCCTTTCCCGTGTCGAAAAATTCTTGAAATTTTATGATTCGTAGAACTCAGGAGACTTTTTGACAGGATGAATGTAAAAAGAATGGGTAGATATTGCAGAGAGAGAAAAATTAATATAAGAGAGGGAACTAGCGAAAAGGAAGAGTGCTTACGAAAAGAGAAAGGGGTAAGGGTAGAGAAGAATACATAGTACATGTAACGACAAGAGGGAAGGAGAGGGATACCGAAAAGGGAGAGTGGCTAAGAAGAAGATATAGAAAGGAGAGAGGAGAGGAGAGGAGAGGAGAGGAAACGTGGTCTCGTGGGTGGGCAAAAGAAAATGGTGGGGGTAAGTGTAGTGGATCCATTCATGCACCAACGTAGAGTACGGAAGGTGCAGCCGTTGGAGCAGCCCGCCAGAGCTTGATTGGCCGTTGGACGGTGCAGACTGAGCACAGACGCTTTGACTACTCTCCCTGGCCCGTGCCCGGCGTGCACCACCACTCTCCTCCGCGTGTCCGTATAGATTGGGAGTAGTAGGAAAACGTTTACTAGCGTGTCGCCATTGGTGGTGTGTAATGGTAACTACACACGCTCTGTGGTGACTGTAGGATTCGGTGGTATTACGTGTTCAAGACGTCAAATCGGCCTATGAATGAAACCGTGTTTGGATCGCGCTGCGCTCCGAACCACGTATTACGTGAACGGTGCGCCGCGAATTTTTTATTTTTTTCAATCTGATGTCTCATTCTACGCCTATTCTTTGTATTTTGCGTTTATTGTTGAATCTAACTAGTAAGCGAATAGTAATCTAGCAATCTTTAACTGTTTCTATAAACAGGTTGCAACGATCGTTATTTAAGGATTTAGTTAGATATGAATTAACAGATGTAAAACATAATGGATAGAGACGAGATTAGATGCACGACGTTATAGACATTATACAATTAACTCTTACAAAACTTGCAGATAAACTGTATTACAGAAATAAAGAATACAAGATACACTGTCATTGTTCTTCCATTAATGCTATACCACAATATGATAGGTACACTATATCATGGTATCGGTGCAATAAATTCGGATGAAGCCAATGGTACTATAGTCATCGAAGAAAGGCGGCGAAAGAATGGTCGAAGAAGCAGCAGAGAATCGAACGGCGCGACGGCAGCGGCGGCGTCCTTGTTTGCAAGCTACGCGGGGCGCCGGGTATAACAAGGTTGCACAGAGGGAGAGGACACCGACTCAGGAACCACGTGGTGGCTCTCGTCACCACGAGGCCAGTATGAATGAATGAACGAACGAACGAACGAACGTACTCGTACTATACGATACGGAAAATGCACGCGGTGGTGGGGCGTAGGTAGCAGGGAATGCCGATACGCGGCTCCCGGCAAAACGTCCCCCGGCTCTTCTACTCTTGTGCAGACGCTTGCGGACTGCCAGACATAATGGAGCATCGTGCCGCTATTACGTGACAGTCGGTCCGCTCCTGTTTGCCTGAACCAATCTGTCGTTACTCGTTTCCCTAGTGGCTTTGTTAAATTTAATTTTAATAGACTCGATGTAGAAAATGTGCTATTTAAAATTGCGCATGAAAATATGTCCCATATAACAGATTAAAAAAAAATACTTTATGTATATAACTTATTCTATTTCGGAGACATTTTATTGCAAATAATTATAAAACTTCAAATTCAATTGCAAATAATTATAAAACTTCAAATTGCACTCGACATTCTGTACCTTAAAACTACAAGAATGTTAGTAAGGAAATATAAAATTATTTAATAAAATTGTTATACAATTAGAAGATTCAGGAAATCGTATAGTTACGATAGAATAGTATTCGCAGGCATCGGCCAGCTTCAAAAGCACCGATATTAATGTTCTGGTACAAAACGATCTGAGCATTCTCAGTCGACACGCTGAAGAATGTTTTGGATGCTTTAAGTAAATGGGGCAATTATAATGCAACGCGACAACTCTAAATTTATAACATTCCATCTCAGAACTGAATGTTGAACGTTGTTCCGCTTCAGTTACTCGTCAAAAGAAACTTTTAAATTCAATTTAAGAGTCGGTTATATCTTCACAGAATAATTTTAAATAACTCCTTTAAATATAATACAATCCAACTTTCTATTAAATAACTTTCAGACAGAATGTTATACGACTTCATGATTTTTAAGATCCTACAGCTTAAATTAAATTTACGTTGAATAAAATTGAACTTCTAAATACATATGTACGCAGACTCGAATTTGTACTCATTTTGCATTGCGAAGTTCAGTCTGGTTAGCGTAGGATCGAATATTCAGATCCAAGAGATACACAGCACATTCGCTGAGGTGATGCATTTCGCGATTCGCTCGAATGATGCACGAGCTCGAGGAGGCTTCTAAAATAAAGTGATGGATGGTGGCAACGCGCGTCTCGGTACACTTACCTAAGGTAAATTTGTTTAAGGCCAACCCCGCTGTTCACGCAGCCGTTGGGTAGATGGAATTGTTCGCACAGCGATGCCCATTCGTTTCTGGTATTCACCTGAAACACGAAATGTAGGAATATTTCAAATACAATTCGCACGTATTTCTAAGAATAAAGGTTGTACATCATTTCCAAAATAACATAAAGCTTCTCCTAATTGATGATTTTTTTTAGCATTTATGATGTGAATCATTTTTAAGTGTATTTCAGTTAATATGTATGTACGTCACTGCTTACAAATACTACCCTCACTCCGAAGAGAATATAAAAGGACAGGGGCAATAGTGAAACGCGACTTCACAAAAGTGTCGGGTACATAGGCGAGACGCGAGATAAAATACCCAGCCGGGGTATAAATTTTCTGCAGGCGCCTGTTGAAAAAATAACCATCGACTCGTGTTACCGGCGCCTGTGGGATACACATACGCTGACGATAAATAAGTATAAGTGGTATGTGCAATTATGTAGGCGCACACACGTTCACCATTAGACTATAAATAATAGTAGAATAAATAATTGTATACATACAATAATACAGTACATAATTAGCAGATATAAAACATAACTGTATGTATAGACTGAATACAATAGATGATGTATGTATTATGAGAAGGATCAAATATTTCACACGAGTAAAGTCGGTATTCCGCGGTTCAAGGAGAATTGAAAATAATATATGACAACTCGAGATTCTATGTACGTCGTTAGTCACTGTCAAATGATCACGTCCAAAATTTATATACGGTTACAAATGCGAATATATTCTCATGAAAGAAAACGAATACCGAGGCCAATAATTCCGGGAAAATTTATTTCGCGTTAAGCCGTAAAGTTAGCCATCTTGCGCGAATTAATTTCGAGGAAGCCTGATATAGTACAGTGTCACTATTGATATTCATTTCTTCGGTGGAATTATGGCTTCAATGAATGTGCTGTGGTATGGAGTATGGAGAAAGATTGAAACATGTATGACGAAACAATTGAAACTAGATATGGATCAGACTCCAGCGTTCGTAATGCTTGTATTCTTGTTCGATCTCCGATTCACGATCATCTTGCGATCAAAGGATGTTTGTTTGTACAGTTTGTCCGGTTTAAACGCACCTCAACGAGTCGTGAAATCGACGACGGCGGAACATAGTGGGTCAGTGCTCTCTGGATCAGCGCCCGTTTCCTCGCTATTCTCGTCGCCGCGACACGTTCAATCTTATGAATCGAGAATGTGGCGCCCCGCCGTGGACGATCTTGCGATGTCATCGTTCTCTCATCAAAATCACTCGAACGCATCGAACGATACATAGATATGTAATGTTCTCGACCGATTAGTCAATGAATGTGAAATGCGTGATTAAAAGGATTTCCTTTGAGCAACTTGAATGATCCTCGCTGAGGGCTACTATTATATGAAAATATATTCAACTAGTCCATGATTTCATGCTTTACTACACTTCCTTACAACATTCTTGTAATAAATTAATTATTTGTATCATAATTATACGTTATTTGTCTTTGCCTCGTTGTTTTGTGAATTCTCGTTTTCTCTTCTTCTTTCCTAACTTTTTATTTCATCATTTTATTATTCTACTACTTTTCACTCGAAACATTTGCTGGCCAGACTTGAAAGTTTTCGACCGTCGGATTTTTCTTGTTATCCGGGGCCTCTCTGATCATCTTTCAATATATTTTCATTAAAGTCTATTTTTCCTAATTTTGCTGTACGCTTTCGTTTCCCTTTTCTTTTTACATTCTCTATCTTGAATGATCTTAAAAATCTTCGTTAAGTTTTTCTACATTTCATTTCGTGGGATTAATTAACTACCGCCGATGGTTTTTCCGTTCTTGTTTTGCAGAGCTAAATGCGTACTCGCTTTTAATAATACGCCTTAGAATTACATGGTGTGTGGGCGTTAATGAGTTATACTTGGAATTTCTTGTATAGGATGCAATTGTTGAATTTCATTACCTCGGTCGGTTGAAAACAGATTACTTATTCGGATAACAATATCCATTGTCTCAGATTACACATCGCGTGTATGTTGTGTACATATATGCATATATGTGTGTGTGCACTTTTATTATCGGTTACGTTTATATTTTTACGTTTCATTTTTAACTTCATAGTAAAAAAAAAAAGATACATTTTTTACAATCTATATTTTCTAAGGGGGTCATAATTAAAGTTAATGCAAAAACGTTATTTCCAGTGAACTATTTGATATCTTCTGATTAACTTATTGTTAGAGCGCGTTGAATTATGATTGTGAAAATTGGTGCAACGTGAGCATTAAATATGCGCTAAGCCTATTTTCATAACGTGGAGTAACGAGATTTCTTAATTTAAAATGTACGGCAACCGATTGAAAATTCTCGACATTCAAAGGACGCTGTATGAAATATTACTTATCTTATGAATATTAAGGTTAAAGTTTCTTTTAAAACTAATAGTACCTTTTTTGTCTTTTTAGAGGGGAATTTCCAAGAAAATAGTTCCATAATATGTAATCTAAAAAGTATGATTACTTCAAGTAATCAAAATCTTAATTGATATTTCACTATGAAATATGTAAAAACGTCACGTAACACTCCTTGATATGCAATAAAAATTATACTCGACCAGGCTGTAATTACGTGTTTCAGATGTATAATGTCCAGCAGCCACGAAGCGTTATGATACAAGATAAAATGACTGTTACGGATTGCGCTGAGCGTGTGTGGTGATTACCGCGTCTCGCTCAGGCAAGACTTTTGCCCATAAATTTCACAGCTTTTTTCGATAGACTCATCGAAAATAAAAAATAAAAAAATATAAAATATTTTTTTTTTAAAGTGCGTCTCATTAGAAATACTTTTAAAATGTTAATGAGATAGATCACAAGAAATTTGAATACGCACGGAAAACGTTTTACGGCTCGACGTTATCGGGCATTCTACCGTGCTAGTTATACAGATCGCGTACTATTTATCTGCTGTAAACAGTTGGGTACGCGAGATTTATCAGAACACGTTACAGCGCTCTTTTTCTTGATAAGACACTGCCTCAAATTTGATAGCCTCTTATGAGCTACTAATACAAGATATATTTCGACGAAGTGTGACAATTTGTAGAGGAACCGATTCCATTACACGATTTTTTTCCATTTCACAATTTAAGAACACCGTTTGAAAAGAGTTAATAGTTAAATAAGAATGTTAAGAAAATTAGTTTATTATGGTTTAGTTTCCTAAATTATTTTCTTATTCAATACTATATCTTTGCTCTGTGTACACGTAATGATTGTCCTTTGTACTAGAAGAACCGGTGAACAAACGCAGAAAAGATGGCCAACGGGAATTCGCTGGAAATCTAAGGGCAGCCACTTCGTTCCAATCAAAAGGAGGAGAAGACAGGTAAGAAAGAGGGAGTCGCGGAGGGATTACTACTAACCAATTGCAACAAAGGAACTAACAGGAATTCGCATCAACCTGCGGCAACTTTTTGTTTGATCAAGGGAGGCCGCACGGAAGGGAGTAGAAAAGGGACCGCGGTAAGCCTTAAACAGCTTTAATAAGGGAACGAAAGAGAATCCACTCGACTGTAGGTTCAATCAGGATTAACTAGAAAAAAACAAATAAACCAACCAAAAATTAAAACATTGGAATTAAAGATTAATTATAATTTCTACTGATTAGAAAGTTTCAATAAAATGGTAAAAAATATTAATTCATAACTTCTCTTATTTAGTAAATGAAAAATTGTGAACTAAAGTAAAAGTTGCAATTTATTAAAAATGTATTGATGTCTGTTACCTATTTAGGTATTGTATTTATTTGTACATGTATTTACATGTAAAGAGAACTTGAGAAAATTAGGTAAGAAAAGCCTAGCAAGATTTGTTTTACCATTCGTTAATACTTTGCAATGCCCCAATAAAAAAAGTCGGGTTGTTAACTGACCGTTACAATAATCGCCAGTAGGCATTATCAAGGATTATTATTTTAGTGCCAAGTATCTTATGCTCATTACTGACTGACAGATAAAACGAAGACATCACACATGTATTACGATTCTTCTAATCTCTTACGATTATATTTGCGAAGCAGCTACAGCTTGTAAATCCAATTTTTTCCAATTACTCTTTTTCTTGTACAAATATAATTGATACATTTCTCATTAATATTTTTAAATTCGTATCTACACAGAAAAGTGACTTCCTAATATCTACAATCAATCATAAATACCATTCACGTGGCGTACACACCGTTAATTCAGAAACAATGCATCGCCACGCATATCGTTTAAGGAGCAATACAAAAGATACTGTATATCTGAAAGGCTACAATTTCTTAAACCTAAATAATATGTAACTTAGCTCATTAGTGCGTCGAATTCTAACGATTCTCGGCCAGTGCATAGTGTATTGCGTTTCAACATATCAATACATAGTGTATTGCGTTACGCTCCACACCGTCTGGCGATTCCCATTCTTTAATTCGATTTATACAGCGATTTAGCCCTGAATTTTATCTTGGCAAATTCAATGTGCTAAGTCAGCCCAATGATAATGCTATTTAAGTTCAACAAGGATTCGTTCAGACAACCTACATACAGTTTGTAGACATTTCAACTGTTGACAAACTTTATGTAGATTGTGGTAAAGTGTGTTTAGAGACAATACCCAAAAGTTTGAGAGTTCTTGGATTCAATGCAAAGAAGAAACAACCGACAGATGAGCGAACGAGGAAGGACTACCGACGCATACCAGGTTCGGGCGCATGCATTGGCGATTTACTGGCACCGATTAGGTGTAGTATAGGACAGCAGCGGATTCCCCCGTCTCGGCCCGGTAATCGCGCGACTTTGCTTGACCTTGACAGTATGAATTACATCGCGCATGCGCGGGGACGTTCTTCGAGAGCGTCGAACGCGCTATCCACGTGTTCTCGGTTAGCCTCTGAGGGACTACACGATGAAAGTGTCTTTGCCGCCACGTGCTCGTTGGGGTAGGACATGGTCTCTCTCTCTGCTCCTCTCTCCCACCCCTTCACCGCGTTCCTCTCCCTCTCGCCCTTCCTCCCTCTTCCTCTAGGAACGGTTGCTTCGGTGTCCATGCTGCACCGCACCGGCCCGGGACACATTCGCGCCGACGTTTTCGCGCTCTATCGTTCGGCTTTTTCGCGTTTCCAGCGTCGCGTCGTGCACGCCTGGCGTGGCGCAGCGTCGGTACTCTCGTCAGACCAGTCTCGGCTTCGTCGCCGGACAGATACGGATCGGTCCGTCGGTGGCCATTGTCCGCAAGACAGAGCTGACGACCAAAGTTACGGATAGTGATATAGATAGTCGAATGTAATAATCATTCATTGTCAGTTATGAATGATGCTTCTTGACGAGAAAAAGTCATTTATTTCTCACGACGAATAATTCACTTGTGACTCATGCGATATAAATTGTAAAGCTTTGTACGACTGCAGGCTTCTTAGAATTCTAGTGTCAAGTGAATTTAATTGTAAGTATTCACGTACGTTACGTTTTCTGCTAAAAGGTGAAATCATAATTAACATGATCGAGAAACGTAAAGCTAAGAAGAAAAAAGTACACACAATTGTACTTGTGAAAGACTGTGTTGGTTACAGAGAACGACTACGTGTTCGTGGCAGCATAATTCAGTTGCACATGTTCAAAACGTCCTTAGCGATAAAAAGCAATATGTACTGGTCACTTCGCACCAAACCAATATATCTCTCAAGGTTGCTGTTTTCATATCTAATTCCATAGCCTCGTCAACAAAATTGTACTTGAAGTTTGTGATATTCTATTATTCTCAATCATGCTTTATAATATTGTTATCATTAATTGCAGATATAAGACTTCTTCCTCAAAGATATATCAACGTTATATGAGGGGGTAGAGATTCATATTGGTGGAAGTCACTTTTCGATCAAGTTGCACTACAAATGCTAATACGTCCAACGAAAACATTTAGTAAGTCCTAACTCATCTCCCTCGTAAACTGATAGAAGCACAATGTAGGCATGTGGTAGAATAGCTGTACTATTTCCGGAACTTGAGTGTACCAGAAAGTGCCTTACACCACTATGACTTTTACCCACTCATATGTTAGATCACCGATATCATTCAATAATGGTATGTACAACTCCAACTTTTTGCAGATGTCAGCTTTTTGCAAAGATTCGTGCTTCTGCGATTGCTGAAGACGATTTCATCCCTCAGCAAAAGAAATTTTCATCCCTTCGATTTGAAGGGAAGTATAACGCGCAAACGTTTATCGTACCACCGTCAAACTGACAATGTTCTACCTATGCGTCGCGTGTTTCGACGACCGTCGCGAGCACGTGGTCGCGGAGATTCGCTGCTAAGCATTGGATAGCGTCGAGGCGGCCCTGTAGACCAGAAACCGAGCGAGACTCGTGTCAGGAGAGCCCCACCAGAACATCACGTGGGTTCGCAGGCCCACGGCACACGGGTACACGACTGACAGTTCCCAGTCAGCTGATCGTCCACCCGGGAGGGTGAGAGGTAGGAGGTAGCAGTCAGCACCAGCAGCAGCAGTAGCAGTAGCACAAGTAGAGGAGGTGGTGGAGGTGACGGAGGAGGATGAGGGAAGGAAGGGGCGCGGGTTAGCAGAGAGAAGAAGGGAAGGAGGGCGGAGGGGTTGGCGACGCGCAGTCTGCCGTCGTCGTCGGGATCAGCTGATCGGTGGAGGTGTGCTGGTAGCTGACTGACTGTGAACTCTCTCAATGAACCAACGGACGAAGAAGTCTTCGCGTGCGTACACACACGTACATGGGGAGTGAGAGCACGCTTCCCGCGGGGGGCCGAGGGAGAGGGAAGGGAAGCGAGCGAGCGCGTATGCGCGCCTGTCTGCCTAACTATGCGCCAGAGCACTCGCGAGGGAGCGAGCGTTTAGTAGCTAACGGAAGTAGTAGTGGCCCGGCACCGAGAGCTTCGAATGACCTCGACGTTTGCGCCGCGACGAGCCGTTCTTCGGCCTCTTCACGGAGAGGGTTGGTTGCAGCGTACGGTGGTACTGTACATCAGCCAAGGAACAAACTTCAGGACCGAGCGGAGTTGTAAAATACACTAATCAGCGAGAACGCTTACGGAGGCAGCCGTAAAAAAAGGTGTACTGTGCTCAAACGTAATTGGGGATTGTGCTATGTTTACCTGGGTCTAGTTTTTCCACCGAGATACGTTTATAAAACTCTTTTAGCTTCCTGTTGAAAACACGACCACAAATCAGATATCATTAAGCAATACTTTCTGTATGTGTGTACCAAATTATGCAGATATATTTTTGCATTAATCCAGTTCAGTGATGAGGAAAATAACGTAATAGTTAACTACAAACTAAATATTGCTACAGGGGTAATATATAGATATTTAAGCCATTATAAGGGATGATTTCCTCGCTAGAGATCGTGGATGCACCAGCCGCAACTGCTTAATTGCTACATAGTAGCGGTATCAGAGGTTGTCGACACAGGAACAATATCCTTTGATGTTGTTACAATGTTAAATATCTAGGATCAGGTGAATTGCGGCAGCTTTTGAGACCTTTAGCTAGAGAACTATCTTCATAAGATATTGTCGAGGATTACCTACGGTACATATTGTAATTTCTCTATTAATCACACATAGGATGAATACCTTTTACAGTCTTTAAAATTTAAAGGAATAGGACTTTGTTTACGATTTCATAACTTGTTTTAGAAGATCGTAACGCACATTCATACAAAGACAGTGAAAAGCAATAAACCACAAACACGTAATTCATTCTCGCGAATATTTAGATATATCGTAATTTTTGTAGTTATCTAGTCATCATTTTGATTAACGAGAGAGATAATATCAAGAAGGTCAATTCGCAATTGCGTAATGCGGTACTAAATACACGTGTCGTGCGTATATCCATCCGCTAGGCAGGAGAAGAGCGCAAAGCAAAAAGAGCGGTGAGATCAAATGTAAAGCTTCACAGAAACTCAACGCGGTCGTAAGTTTCCTCGCTCGTGATTGCCAGATACTATATTTCTGTCGCGTATACAGGATGCTCACGCGGTTGTTAAACGAGTTTTTGTTGTAAATTTTTCAATAAACGTGACTATTATTGTCTTAAAATAAGTACAGACATAAACTAATTTAATCTGTATAAATATCAACTAATTCATTTCATACAAATTTATTTTTATATACATCACGTTAGAAGTTTGATTATGAAATGCGAGCCTGATTAGTTCCCGAACAAAATATTGTCTTTCCAAACACGCGTATCAGTTAATTGCCATTTTTTATCGAAACACGAACGGTGAACGCGCAGATAATTGCCCTTAATTATGGGGCTCCGTCCTTTAGCCGCGTAATCATCCGATTGATGTTCTCTAGCGAGTGCGTATAGTATTCGGTTTCACGATATACAGTATGTTCTGAGTGAGAGGGAGAGAGAGACTGTAATAAGCGTGTATGCAATCATCGACAATTGAATACGCAATACGCGGTTAAGGGGCCGTGTAATCCACCGGCGACAGAAGAACAGCCGCTCCTTGTTCTGCCGGGGACGATAGCAACGCTATTACAGGCGCTGTAACGACATAGTAACCACCCAGATGGACAGGATCTGGTAGAAGTTACTCTCTTCTTCGTACATTTCAGAGAAAACCAGTTCCTCGTTCGACGAATGCGAACTACCGCGAAATTCGTTTTCGAATAAATTCTCGATAACGTTCCTACTAACGTTTGTTTTAAGAATCGCAAGCACTTGAGATGCTCGACAAAAAAATGTAATTTGAATCATTAAACGATTGATAAAGTCTTGAAATAAGAACGTAGATTGTGTGCCTTAAACAGAGAATTTCTGCTATGCTTAGAAGTAATCTAATATTACGAGTACTTTATAGAACTAAAACAGACTTAAAAGAATTCAGTCTCTTGCGAATCAGAAGTATTTGAAAAGTTGGCTAAAACTGTAATTTGAATCGTTAAACAATTATTGTGGTTTTACATGAATGTAGATTATGCTTCCTAGGCACAGAATTTATGCTACGGTTTGAAACATGCCAATATTCCGCATTTTACGAGCACTCGGAGTACGTAGATGAAAAAGTCCAATGTACAATATTTCTCTATTTTTTTTCTCTGTCTCCCGGCGATTCTGTTTGCGTAACGATCGTTTAACGACTCGCGGCATAACGAGACGGACGGTGCGAGTCGCGAGTAAATACCGATATGTATATATATATGTATGCATGTATGCAGTGCGGCGTCTAGGCATTTCTTTTCGGACAGAAGCTCGAACCCGAGGCACATCTGTGAACTGTTGGACGCATGCGGGTGCCACGTTGTGCTCGTATAACTACAGTTGTCACAAGCCAAACAATGCCCACACTCTTCCTCCATCGCTCCGTCGCCACGCACACTGACTCGTTACATAAGATAAACTATGTAATCTAACAGTGCCTCGTGCTGCTCGCCCCAATGAAAGATATCGCCTTCGTCAGACTAAACTTATTACGGCTACCACCCACGTTGCAATATCGAAAGCTATCTTTTTATTAATCGCAAAACGCGGTGCAAGGCGTCACACGAAAGTGTTAAATAGAAAATTTCAATTACTTTTTTCCTTATAATTAAATTGCGGATTTTTATGTAAAATAAAATTTTCGAAATATGTAGAAAGAATTTCCTCTCATCTTCGAAAAGTATTTAGTTATGATTACTATTGATGAACTTTCTGCGCCTTTTTTATATTATACACAAAAATATAAAACAACAAATAAATACACAAAATTCGCAGTCTACGTACTTATAATAATTCTAAAATTAATTTCTTTTCTTTTTATAGTACAATAATGTCTCCTTAAATAATCGAAGTATTTGTTATAAAAGAATAATACAAAAATTGAATATGGACGAAACGACGACGGAACGTATTTTGCTATTCGTTTTGCAGTGCCTCGGCTAACAAACGAGCAATACGAGACGCATAGATAGATACGCACTGGCGAAAGATTTCAAACGAGTTCCGTTCGCGGATAAAAGCAACGCGACGCTACTTTCTATCAACGCAAATAGAAAGTTTCAAGTTTCGTCGAAAACTCGCGTTCCAATTCGAATTCCCCATTTGTTTGCATTCGTTAGAGACGTGACTAGAAAATACGCAGGGATTCCGATGGTTGGACCTCGAATTTTTTTGAGGTCCTAGCAATAAACGCAACACATTTTTAACCATTCATCCGAAATATGAATGTGGTTGTACAAGATGACATCGTACCAGGAATGCTATAACGTGTCAGCTTGCAATCACTATAAGCAGAACTCGTATCTCTGTTTAAAAAACACACAAAATAGAGCTATAGTTTTGTAAATACATACATATTTTAATACGGTTTCTGGAATCCGTTATCCGGCTGATCGATTAATAAATTCACTTTCGATTTTCAAGTTGAACAGGAATTAAAAATATAAGCGAAGACAGAAAGGTAATTGAAAGCCGGACGCGTTTTAAAAAGTTGCAAGAGACGTAGTCGCGTTGGCTGGAGAACGATCGACGGGTTCGAGGAGTTCGAATCCGGACGATACGCTTTCCTTCGGTTGTCCTCTATCCGTCTCACTTCTTCCTCGACTAACGGTGAGACCATCTCACCGAGCCGGAGCCGTGCACCTCAGGCTATCTCTATTTAATCTTACCGCGGCGACGTTGCCGACGATGAAACACGCTCTCGGAAGTGGTCTGCCCCACGCCGACAGAATGGCAACGTCGACGCCTCCTACCATTCCAACAACTTCTCGCTTTACACCTCCTTTTTCCCTCTCTTTCTCGCCGAGTTAAGCTGCGTATTCACTAGCAGGCGATGCGCAAGAAGTTTGCGAACTCGAACGAACATCTTATAATTATAAGCTATGCACTGTTTGAACATAAGATATTACAGTTTCAGGAACGGTAGAGTACTTTTTAACAAGAAACGATTCCTCTATTCTTCACTCTTGCTTACAAATTGTTAACTCCCGTGTATAACGTGCCTTTACTCGGTGGCACAGCGCGACATTCAAGAAAGAGATGGTACGACATACGTACGTACCTATGTATGTATGTAGTAGGTGTCGTTACCTACGATTGAGGGACGAGCAAAAAGAGTAATGCCTCTGCTGCAGCGAATCATACGCTCGTCGAAGCAGTACTGTCCTCGAGCCAGCGATCCGATCTCATTTTACGTACCTCTACAGTTCACTTTGAAACGATAAGTCGTCCTCGCTCACTCGGTTTCGTGGGACACGAATCGAATACCGAGAGTGAGAACATGGTCGATGTATTCGTAACACGAGGTGTAGGTTTATAAATCACAGAAACGAGTTATGTAATGGTTCGATTCAATACGGTACTCAAACTGCGCGTATCAGCGAAAGATACGCATGTCCAAAGCAGGAAACATTAAAAAGAAGCCGTGTAAAGAATGGTAGTTAGACCCTCTCGATGAACTCTACTTGCAGGAATGGAAAACCGGCGTATGGAAACGTAGTGTTATGTTTCTCCGAATATTCTCGTTATGAATTCCATTCGAAGAAGCGTACAGAAACGGATGACTCGACGAGGGAGAGCGAAGGCCTATTTTTTTCGCGGCGAATTTCCGAATGAAAGGTACTTGGGCCAATTTGGACACGGGGGTGTACGTAGGACAACTATATGCGCGAGACGAAGAAAGAGACTGGCAAAGAAAGCTGAGTAAAGAAGCGAACGGAGTTACAATTTCAATAGTCGTATAGTATTTTTCAAGCAAATTCTGTTTTCTTTACTCAAATGACTGAACAAACAGAAAATTGCTTATTGTTAGTCGAATTAAAAGTGGACAGATTGAAACAACTGTCGAATTGATTGGATAGACTAGACAATGACCGAGACCGCAACAGACAGGATGCGCGTTTTTGTTCCTGAAATTGGAACCTATGATGCCTTTTGATCTTACGTTCGGTGATCATGAAACAATGATGATGAGCTATAGTTTAATGGAAAAATTTGTTTGTATATTTTTCACTTTATCGCAACGAGAGTTATATCAATTGTTCTTAGCATTTCTTTTTCAATCATGGAAGTGCCGAGTTTTCGCTCTTACTCCAGAGTTAATTATATCAAAGAGAATTTATTTCTAGTGCTACATTATACGTAGTTCTATTTATAATGTATTTAAACAAATTATTCTCCATATATTATACTATAATGTCAATTTAGGTTTTAAAATGCTATCAATTTATGAGAAACATAAATGTCTCAATTTACGGTTTCTAGCAACGATGAGAACGTTCATGGCGTATAGGTTTAAAAATATCTAAGCGAAATTAAGATTGAAATAAAATTTGCGTCTCTGCGGGTAGCGAGAAGCGAGCAGGCGTCTCAGATCGTTCGGGTGTCCCCGAGTGCACGTGTGTGCACTAGTGTGCAGGGCATGAGGTCGGTCTCCTCGTCGTTCGATGTATGAGAGTTCGGATACCCTCTCCGCCGGTGCGCGAGGCAGCGTTGCCAACTCGTTCGACGGTATGTGTGCTGCGTGTGTCAGGCTGCACTGTTGCCATATCGACCCTACCTTATACTCATCATCCAACCGCTCTGTTTTCCTCCCGTTACTCCCGCTATCTCTCTTTCTCTCCTTCGTTTTATTCTCCTTTTTATTTCTCGCCTGCCTTTTTTCCATTACGTAGTTGTAGTTTCTCTGGGCCATTCTACTTGTCGTTACGCCCTTCTCAATTTCTTCCCCGTTATTCGCGATGCTCTGCACTATGGGATTCGTGCATCGTTCGTTCTTTAGTTTCGCCGTCTTTATCTCACGTTTTGTCTACATTTTGTATTTACCGCGTTTGTTGCACTACAAATGTAAACGTATCTCTTTCCCATTACATTATCTAATTCCTTTCCATAATCTACATAGTTAAGCTTGTACATCATAATTTTCCTCATATCTTTCTGGCCTATACTTTAATTTTCCTCTTGTCTCTAGTCCATTCATTTAATTTTCTGAATTATTCTTTTATTTCATTTACTACTTAGTCCTTCGCTTTAAAATATTTCAAGTTTTAATGTGCTTCTGATACCTGCTTCGTTTCATTCTCCAATATTCCTTCTCTCTCTCTCTTTCTCTCTGTCTTTATTCTCGGCTGGCGCGCGGTTCAGGCCACTTGGTAGCAAAGCACGGCGCCGCGGCACCTGACTGACTCAGCATTACCGAGTTCGTCGCGTCGCGGATTCCTCGCACACGTCGCACGCACTCTCTTCTCTGCGTAGAGCACGAGCAGACCAATGCCAGACTACGCTGCGTACCCATGCCCATTCGACAGCCACCCGACGCTCGCCGCTCTGCTCTCCCGCGCGCGAAACCAACCATACCCGCCGCTGACGCCCTTGAACAAGCCGGACAGTTGCGAACCCGCTCTCCCTCCGTATCTTTCTTTCTCTACGCGCCGACGTATATCTGTATCTCTCGGCATAGTTTACTCGCCGCTTTCTCGCGATCTTCTGTCTCCTTCTCTTCTTCTTCTTCTTTCTCTTCCTCTTTCCTTGTTCTACCGCGAGCACTTTTTCTTGCCGAAACCGGTAGGAGCCACAATGTTCCGCCATTGGTTTCTTTGACAACGCACGCACGAGAAAATCCCGATGATTCTACCTATTCGACTTCGCCACTCACATATTTTCCGCGTGGTTTGCGGCTTACATTTCCAATCTGACCGAAACGTGACGCTATGGCTGTAATAGTCATTTTTCACTGTTTTCAAATCTCATCGAATCTTCATCCGTGTTATATTATTCTTAATACATGAGGCCACAACAACTGTGTA